GCTCAATTTTAGACGATTTGATACATTAGTGGTTTATAAAGTTCTTGAACAATTTATCACTATGGAAATATATATATGCATAGAAATACTTGATAGCAATAGAACAAAACATAAAAAAGATATTAAAACGCTTACGATAGTTTAATCATTTTTTATCATTCAAAAATGGTAAATATTAAAAGAAAAACCAGCGTTCAGAGACTTCAGTTCTATTTAAATTATTTAAACGTTGATTTATAATTACAGACCTTCTAATCTTCCCCAATATTTCATGCTACTCCATTTTCTGAAAGTGACATGTAATTATATCTAAGGAATTTTCATCTTACCTAGAACAAGCTTACATAATAATTTAAATATTAAATTCTAATCATGAAGTAGAATTTAAGTGTCTAGATTTATATCAAATATACTCGGTACCTCTTTCCACAATTTTCTCCGGAATTGAAGGAACCATTTAACTTTCACTGGACAGTTTAAAATGTCCTATCCAAATAATGAACTTTATCATAAGTACGTACCAAGTTTGACTTAATAATTGAAAATTGTAGACTTGAACTTGTAAACCTTTGCACCATCCTGTAGATGTCTGAATTTATCGATTCCTAATGACGACGAAAACTGGTCAAATCTTCATTCGCAATTGGCGGTAGTTTTATCTCACCGAAAACCGACCGTAAAACGTGAAATGGTACTAGCGTTATCTAGCACGAATTTGCATTTATAGGATTGCAGGATTCGTTGCAAATACCCATTCGAACAATTGAACGTAGTACTGTTATGTTCCAACAGCGACAATACTGACACCATTCGTTGAATTATCTTCGTCGCTAATAAAATACGATATTCAACTTAATGGCTGAGAAAACAATTAAAATAAACACGGTGAAAAGGTTACAGCATGACTGCAAATTAGAGAATCATGTTTCGGCAGAGATTGTTATCGACGAGAATAATATAACCTTCAATTATCAGGAACTGCAATATAATACACGATTTTCATTAAATTATACAGTTTTCAATTAAAAATTCAATTGCATACAAATTAGTGAAGAAAATCCTTTGTTGAAATAATATATTAATTAATAAGTTAATTAATAAATATCATATTAATTCTATTAATTATACATATTGTACAGCTACTTTTTAATCATTTTTTCATGTTAAATATTATCTGATGCAAAACAAATTTCTAAAACAAGAAAAATCAAACCTTAATACACTATATTCTTTGAATAAAACATTTTTTAGATTCCTTTTTTACATGATTAAACCCCTGATTCAAAATTTTACATATAAAACAATTTGCTTTCCTGTACTATTGCCTAAAATATTTAAAAGAAAATTTATTTTTAATCCTCACCTTTAAGAGCTGTTTTCAGTCCTTCGACATTCAACAATGACTGCTAAAAAAACATGTATCAAATTTTTTTCTGACAACTATCTTCATGAAACCTGAATTTCATTAAACTTCATTAAGTTCCTTGGACAGTTTGCATCTACTAGAGTTCTACTGTCAACAGTAAACCTTTCAATTCGATACATAACGTAAACCTATCCACAGCTTCATCGTACTCGAATCATCTACCGTGCTGAAGCTCACTGTTATTCTTGGACCTGTAAGAGTATCGACATTATCAATAGAGTTATGATCCTCTAACAGTACAATGAAAACGATAGTGTTGCTGGTTGCAGCCAGAAGACAATAACAAAACGGGATTCAATGGGAGGGCTAATGCATAGGCTAAAGTGAAGAGGGGAACTTGTGACGGAGTTCGTTCTAGCGTTATCGTTTTCATACATACGGTGATCCCTGAATAGATTTATAGAATTAAAATCATTTTTATAGTACTCAATATTTAAGTTTGATATATATATTTAAATTATATCGGTGAAATTTCAAGAATTTGACGTGTTTTGAAAATTAAATTTGTAAGATGATAGAAAATGAGTTTATATTTGTATATTCCTTCGGTTGATTCATTTTCTATCATTGACTTATAAACAAAATAAAAAGCAATTTGTTTACTCCTAAGTAGGAGAGAATTGGTGATTTAGTTGCATCCTACCAAATGAGTTATAATTATTCTGCATATATAATTTTTTGTTTAATATTTGATGAATATAATGCCGTCAAGATCAAATAAAATAAATATCTGATATAAAATTTCATAATATTTTCTATTATACCGTGTATAAGTAACTTTAAACATAGGTTATGATAGAGTTATGTAAAATGTAATAGTAGTTCACTATGTGCTTGGATAACGCACATAAAGACTCCGTTTTGCAATGCCAGTAAAATTAAATTATAACTTTGTTCACAAAGCAAATATAAAAACTTTGGTTCATAGGTACAATTAATTTGCACGTACCTATACTTCTAACAAACGAATGTACAAAACAATGCATTTATATTTTTGATAAAAAAATTATCGTTAAAAAGGTATTGCTTCCTAATACATCATTTAAAAAGGAAAAAATGGAATAGCTATAGATTACTCAATAAAAAACACTAATTTCCAATATTCTTCCAGCTTTAATCATTTTCAACATATTCAGTAAAATATTGCTAATCTCCAAATGTTCAATCTCTTTTCTATCTTTCGGCGCCATGTTGGTACGCTATTTTCCCTATTACCTTTGACGTGTCTTTTTCCAAAATATTTCTATCTTGCAGTCAAGTTGGCAGCGTGTAGTCAGGTCCCTAGTAGTTCGGCTATTAATTAAAAATCTTCGGCAACCGCTAATTACAAAACGCCAGTGGAAACGGAACACAATGACGAAACGGAGGAACTCGGATTGACCAACAGGTCGGCGCGTCGAGCGGACCGGCATAATTGGAAACCGGGAACGGGAACCCTAAATTACCAAACGCAAATTAAGCTCCCGGTGTTAATGAACTCGGCAGCGATGACGTCGCTGACTTCATCAACAACGATCGCCGACGTCTGCGACCAGCAGCGCATTGAACCAGATTCATTCATCGCCGAACTTGACCCCGTTCCGTTGCACGTGATCGGACGGACGTTCTTCTTCGTCTAAATATAGCGACGCGTATCACGAAATGATGCAGCGGCAGCGATAGCCAGTCGTTAACATGTTTCACGATCAGCGTCACATATTTGTGACGCTTAACACATCGTTGACCGTCAACTTTATTCAGAACCTACTCCCTTTTCACCGATTATTATTCCGTAGATAAATATAAAAACATTTTTAATTAAAAAATATAATTAAAAAGGAATTCCTTTCAGTACATCATTAAAAAAGGAAAAAGTAGAATAGTCATAGATTCCTGAATAAAAAACACTAATTTCCAATATTCCTCTAACGTTAATTATATTCAACATATTCAGTTAAATATTCCTAATCTCTAAGTCTCCAGAATTTACATTTTTGTAAACAATCAACAAACATTCATGAAACAATCTAAATAAACTTCAATATACTTCATTTGTACATAATAAATTGAAATGAAAGTTATTGCTTAGAATATTGCAAAAGCAAAATATTCGAAGTTATATAAAAGATATGACTATTCTATATTGCCCTGCATTTCAAAAATTGAAATAGCTAATGCAAGTGCAAACATGACTTAACCCTTTGACCTACGATTTATTTCTCAGCTATGATCGATACACCTATTTTGTCGTTAATAATTTAGTGAGAAGAAGAAAAAAATTCTGGGTATATTCCATATTTATAACTGTTCTACAGTATAATAATTAATAGCAGAAGAATAATATTTAATTCAAATTCAATTTCTAAAACAATATTAATCGTGATCAAATATGAACAAAGTTTTTCTTAGTGTATTAAAAACATTCCATTAACCATGTTTCAAACTTCCGTTTTAGTAAGAAAAATATGTACAATTTAAAAATAAATTATTTATAAATAATAAATGCTTAAGTATCTCTCATATTTCGTTTTTCTAACAGAAACGGGTAAATGTAATTAATTGATTTTAAACGAATAAAATTTTAAGAAATTTAATTTCACACGAATTGGATTCTAATTAATGACTCAATTTTATCCTCACGAGTTGAAATCGGACGAGTTTATATTTTTACGTAAATCGTTTTATCGTGATTGCGTAACACGTATCTCTGTTTGTCAGAAGCTGGTCCAATCAGCTTCTCTAAGCTAAAAAACGATAAAGCCGCTGAAAGCGAAAGCAGGAATAGCTCTACAGAAGTATCGTATAGCGGGAAGAGGTTAATGGCACTTCCATCAGAGAGGAGTATCGAAAGGGCAGCTACCCTTAGACCGGATGTCAACAGCACAAACAGACACGGTTCGAAATGGCTTCCTGAACTGAAATCTAGCTCCCGAGAAATCAGTAAAATCAAAGCGACATGAAAAGGAAAAGTCCCTTTTCCTCATTTTTCAGCTGCTCTAAAAAGTCGTTGACGTATCATAGGTCACATATTTAAAAATTCAAATAAAATCTAAATTAGTGACATAAAGAGTAATGAAGAACAAATTAGAGAAATTCGATTAATCTATGAATAATTTGCAAAATTGCTTATTTACTTTAAATGATGTTCACTTAAAGGTTTTATCTTATTACTGTCAATTTATATTAGAATTTTTTCATGTTTTTTTTAATTAATTCGTTGTACATTAAATTTGTAGCACTTATTATTAAAATTTATTTTTAAAAGCTGCATATAAAGAACTTTTTTAGTTAATGTTTTATTAATGTGCAAGAATATAATGCAACGTAATACAATTCCGTATAGCTTGCAATAACCCATCGTTATGAAACATTATCTGTTTGATGTCTGGGAATTTAAATAGAATTATAATGTTATATTGTCTTGTTTTTATGTAATATTTGCAACGTGAACTGGGAACTGCGTTCTTTCACGTTTCAGAAAACGGGAAATATGATTATCAATCATAAAATAATGTAAAGCATATTTTATAGTATGTCGAAAAGAATGAAAGGGCATATTATTTTTTATAAAAAATATGCTTATTCTTTGTTTCAGATAGTTCCTGTTAAAAACATGGTCTTTATCAAGGTTCTAGTGCCCATTTTTCTAGTGACCATAACTAAAGGACAACCACTATCATACACCACTTATGATGAAAGGGAATTGTCTCAGGAACGTCCGCCATTTTTGCTACTGCTGAATCATCGTATTCCGGATTTGGAGGTATTTTAAAAATACAAAAAAACTAGAATATTTTTCTTTCAGTTCTGTCATTTGCTTTATTCTCTTGATACGAAATGAAAAACAATTTTTAATACAGAATTACAATACAGCAGATAAACAATTTTGCCAGTTGTACATACTAATAATTTAGAGCTCATAGTATCTTAACATCTACACAAAATTTGAATTCTCCTAAAAAATACAATAATAATAAAATTATAACGTAGTACGAAAAATTCTCCAGTCAATTAGAAAAATTTCATTTAGTATATATAACTACACATAATTTACTATGCTAACAAATAATATGTAACATTGTGATACGAGTTAAAATGACAGGCAAATTTCTTTATTTGTTAAAAATTATCAACACTATTTTTCGCCATCCATAAAGAGTTAAAAAAAATCAAGACTACTTATGTATTACATGTACCACCTTTGATTCCTAATTAAAAGTCACGATGACCAGTCATTTAGGTTAGGTTTTAACACTTATTTAATATTAATAAGAATATTAAATGAATAGTTCATATTTATATAAACAAATATTTCTTTCACAAACAAACGCATAATATTTTATTATTATTATTATTCTCATTATTATTATTTTACTTCTTAATAACACGTAAGTTTCAAAAATCAATATTAAAGACAAGAATGCAACTAAATAAATAACGTTATTATTTCGTATCCCTTAGTATATAAAAGGTTGCAGTCGTTCTGAACACCCTGTAGATAGTTAGTAACATATACGTATCATACGTTCTGAATCGGCCACGAACGATTGACTAAAATCCTCGCGTGTGGCCTCTAAGAATAATGCATACACGACGAATAATACCATTACATTGCGTCCACGCGTAAATCGAAACACCATGTGTCCATCAACTATTGGCTTGCGAAAGGACACCGCAGATACTCCTTCCTGAATACAATTGAATTCAGCATGTGAATCGAGAACGAGTCAGTGTATCGCACCGGAGTCGCGCTGAGAATCAAATGTTGTCTCGTGATCCACCTTCCGCTTTATTTATGGTTGGCAAAGTCGTGCGAGTGCCATTACATCAGTTTATCGCGGAATAAATATTTTTATAAACAGCAACAAAATTAATTATACGATTCGATTTTTTCGAAATCGTTAGAAACGTTATTTTTAAGCTTTTATTGAAATTTCAAGAACTTCGCTGGCGCCATACTCGATTACGGTGTGTCGCGAATGACATCAATTAGCAGAAAATTAGTTCTAGTATTTTTTTAAGAGATTATGTTGGAAATAAACTTTATAACAGGTAGACGAACGTTTTATGGATTTTATTGGTGTTTTACTATTTCGTTGACTAAATATGATGAATATTACTAGAAAAGAAAATGGACAAGAAAATGTTTGAAATTTTAATTTATTCTTTCATCTTATTAAAAAATGAAGAATTATTAACATTATGTTGTTTCTTTTATGAACTTGAATTTCATAGACAAATTAAATTCTACCAATTCATATAACAAAAGTATTTCCTTCAGTTTCGTGCTGTCACGCTTATTTTAATACATTTCGACTTGTTACAAAACTCAAATGCCTTTTGTCCATAGTAATTTCATATAAATTCATCAATGAAAGTTTAGCTTAAATGTCTGAAAAAGAAATAAAGTGAACGTATGATGCTTATTTCTTTTAAACGGTTTAACTTTATATTTCATTAACTTTGGTTTTTGTAATATTATTGCCATTTATTTTGCAATTTTAATCAAGAGATTCAGACACTTCCAAAAAAATTAACGACTTAAGAAATACGAGGTATTCGTGGATAGCATTAAAAGGAGGACAATGGAAAATAGTAATTTAAGATTGGTATAGTGCAGTTTTCTCACAATATAATCACGACGAACCGATATCTACGCGCAGCCAAAATAATATATGAAATTTAATTACGTCAACCGAACAATTGAAGACACTCACATGAATGCCGTGGTACCATCCATGAAGTGCCATTCCTCTGGTTCCCTTCTCCACGCGTTAATTAAAACGATCTCAGGCGGCCATTACCTGCAAGATGGGAAGCTACTTAACTTCCGTGAAAGGCTGTTAATTAACGTTCATGTGCAATACATAAGCACTTCAGAGACTTTCACCACAGGCGAATATTATATTAGAACATTTCATGAATTGTACGTTTGTGTTAACCCACTGCCCTACGAATTATTTCTCAACTATGATCCATACAACTACTTTGTCATTAACAATTTACTGAAAAAGAGAAAGATTCTAGGTATATTCTATGCATTATTAATTTCTCTTGCTAAATATTTTTCTATTGTCATGTAAATCAGTATGACAATTTTTGGTCCATATGGAGGATACATGTTTTTGAAATTTTTTCATTTATTGTCATTTAACCACAATTATTGAATGCACCATTACCTCCTAGTTCTTATAGACTTGTTTTGTAAGTGATACTTCTATTTTCATAGATTATTTAAACAAACACGTTTCTTGTGCAATTAAATTCTTCATTCAAAGACAAACAATTTAAAAAAAATGTCTCCCCTACAGCCCCTAGTTTCAGGAGTATTTAAAAAAATATATTTTAATCCCTCAACTTGTGCTTTCACCTCTTTAATGTAGATATTGGCCAATAACAAAAAGTACATGTCAAATATTTTTCAAAGAACTACATCTAACATATGTCTCATAAAAATCGGTGTGTATGGATTCCTTTGTTAGATTGTTTTCAAAATTAAGGGCTCAATTGTTAACTTCGGTTCCTCCCACTCGAGTCATTCTTGTGATCCCGAGCATGAATTATGAGCGAAAAACGCGTATAAGCGTTAAAGCACGGCTGAACGCGAAGAATTCCGACCGCAGGTGCGTAGACCTCTTCTGAAATGAGCTGCGGCAGCTTTTTGTTCACATTCTTCAGCGTGTGTATCATGAAAGTAGCAATAAAATGAAGGAAATATCGCGTGGGGTTGATAGCGCGTTGCACATATGAGGATCGTTGTGTCCAGTTCCTTTATTTTTTCTTGTTTCCCCCGTCGCGAATGTGAATTCGCCGCGCTTTCAACGGTAATCTATGATTCGTTGCATCCACCGTTTTCTTTTTCTTTCATCGACGACATTATCATCGCGAATACCACGTTGAATTACGCGCGCTAATAAATGAAGCGTTAATTTTTTGTTTGGAAGCTCACCCGTGCGCGTTAACTCGGTCCTCTTAACCGGTCCAATTTTTGACGAGTGGGAGAGTGTATTGTATAGATTCTCGCAGCGTACATTTTAATATTCATACGATTCCTGTTCGGAAATTATTCTGACGCTGTTCGCACTGCGTCTAATCGTACTTTGTTGCGGCACGCAATGTAATTTTCTTTATTATTACGCCCACACAGGTGCAAAAACGGTTGTTCGCAGAATTGAAGAACGCTACGCTTTGGATATAAAACAGAAGTTATTTGTCGTTTCGCGAACGAACCCTAAATATTGTCGCGCGAAATGAGGGTGCACGCGTACTGGAACAGCCTTTGGCTTTCCTTCGCTCCACAGGAAATTGTCAGTTTTTTCCCTTCGGCATTGAAAAAAATTAAGTACCGCGTAAAAAGAGTTATGAGAATACTTTCGTTTTTAGATCAAAAGCAGACCCATTATCCGAATGAATGAGTTCCAAGTAACGATGCTCTTAGAGGGTTAAATGAATACATTGAAATTTAATCTCGAAGAATAATGGCCGAAACAAGGATAGACAGCACGAATTGTGCCGCTTTTATGACCCATCGTTCGCGATAAACGAATTAGCTTGTCATTTGTATTAACACGTTCGCTACTAACGTCACATATTTCTGATTATTCATGTTTTGTGTTTGGCGTAGAGACTGAAATCGTAACGCGAGGGGCAACGTTTTAGGAAATTGGCTAGTTTTATTTCTTGAATTTTATTTGTGTTTCGTGAAAACCATATGTTTGATTTAATAAAATATTGTATCATAATTATGAAAATTTTTACCGAGAAAAATGCTGGTAACGTTGCGCGAACAACAAAATCAGCTGCATTGAATGGTGTCAAATTAAAAAAGAAAAAATATAATTTTTAAACAGAAGCAAAAGTTATAAAAATTCATTTTCTCACATTATAAATCTTTTTTTGTCGGTTATTAATACTATATTAATATTTTAATTTTTACAGTTGGACACTAGACTATTATCGTATTTTTACAGTAGACTATTATCATGTTAAGCAGAAGCTATAGCTTACTACCTACTAATCTCAGGACATTCATGATGATTCAGAAAATTTGAAACAGAGCGAATACCTAATTAATCTTCATTAAACTGTTAATTTGCGAATATATAAATGCACAGCCTAATAGTGGCACTGTATAAAATTGATTCAAAATAACACATTTTTCTGTAATTTTCAGAATGAAATGTTTGACTCGAGTAACGATCCTGGATCAACGGTGGTCCGGACCAAGCGAATTGGATCCTTGTCGATCGTGAACTCCCTGGACGTGCTACGTCAGAGGGTCCTTCTTGAACTGGCTCGACGCAAGGCGATGCAAGATCAGCAACAGGTCAATGCCAATCGTCGTTTGCTGGATGTAATTGGTAAAAGGTCGTTGCCTCTGTTCACCAATGACGTATCCAAACCCATGACGAGAACGAGGAACGGGATCGAATACGCGATCGAACAAGAGGAGAAGAATCATGATCGAAGTATCACACCAGACAAAGTCCCCGAAAGACTAGACGACTGGTTCCAAATAGACGATCCTGCTTTTCGAGAAAGACATGACGATCAAACACGAAGGGTGATTATCTTAAGAAATACAAAATCCTACATTTTCTTTCATGAAGCGTTTCCAATATGCCAGTGGCTTCCAAACTTTATGTTACTACGCACCATTCTGAAAAAATCTAAACTTGGCGCCTCCCCCCATTTATTTCATACAATAGTACAAACACATTTTTAAATGATAGAAAATGTATTGGCACAAACCATGAAAAAAACCTAAATTACATTTCTGTTAAACTTTTCGCGCCTCCCAGTTTGGAAATCGCTGCAACATGCAATTACTATCTTGCAGAAAAAATGAACATAACATAATAGAAGGTAAAGATTGCGTGTATGCAAGTATTAGGTTGACAGGAAATAAGTCGATCAACGTTTTTGTAATTGACTTTATTCAAATATAATTTACGTCTATCAATGAAAATAATATCCATTGTAGTTTATAAATTTTTTCTATTGAATTTTAAGATCGTTTATGCTTTTTTTAAGAGATTATTGAGTTCTAGAATTTGCAAGATCTTCCAAAATCATTATCTTTGCAGCGAAATTAATTCGTTTAAGAAAATAGTGTAATTGTCCAGAAAAACTTTTTATCTCGATTGATTTATGCATTGTCATATAAACATAATTCTAGGAAAATATTAACTATAGCCATAGTAATATGGTAAAATCATGCATCTTCAAATCGACCATTTATTTCTTACCTAATAAATTATGCTAGATTTATAGTCAGATCAGAGAATAGAATAAATTCTAGAATAGTTATTTATTACGTGGACACGAAACAAAATCTATATTTTCATTATATTTGTTTCCAGGTGCAGACAAACGATTTGCGTTTACTCTAATCAACTTGAAGAACAAAATGGAATCACAATCAACTCTCGCTATTACGGTTTTTTAAATAACAAGCCGATTACCATATAATTTATGTATTATTCGTCATATTCCTCATGTTTTACCATAGACCCATACATTTTACATACATACCTGCAAATTACTCGCATACCGAACACGGAGTAACGTGTGCCTCATAGTCTGCAATAGCTCAGGAAATTTAAGAAACTCTAAAAATGTTTCAGTATTTCTTTCTGAATTCTCACTCAACTAGAAAAGGGAAAAAATAAAAACAACAAAACAAAGATGGCTTTCCTACGTTTAAGAGCTCATGGTAAGAGTTTATTATATCAAGTCATCTTATATTGCAGTTCAAACTCCGTATTGTATTTATTTTTTGATTTTTTCCTTTTCAATAACGCAGAATCCTGAAACAGAACAGTATTATATGTTGTGATCTCTTCAAGTCTGTCTAATCAATCAAAAACCTCCGCATAAGACATCCAATGTACAACTTTTGATGTAATTTATTGTAAATGTTACTTCATATTAATGTTAAGTTTTAAGAGCATAACAATGGTGGTACCAGAAGGTATTTTATTATAATTATTTAAATTGCCAAGGCACGAAACAGTTTTATGACATTATACTTACCTGTTGTATAGTAATTTTTTTTAGACATTTATGTATTCACTTAATACCTTACTCTTATTTATAATAAGGTTTAAACATGTTATTTGTAAAAGGAAAAATTGTACATTTAATGTAATGTAATTATTATTTTAATACCGATATCTGATCTTTAGATTTACTTTGGAAACATTTCAATCATGCAAATGATAAGTGTATTTGAAAATAAATGTTTCAAAAAGATATGTTTACCTAAGCATCTTTTATGTACATAGTTTCTTTGTTAGATATTATTTTGATTTGCGTTCATGTTATTATGAATACATTGCTTCATATCTGCAATACCCTTAAAAAACACATGATAATGGAATTGACTGTGTTTCAGTCAGATGGTATACCAAAGAAATACTGTACTATGTGCAAATCAATGATTCCCTATTTTTATGTTATAAATTAATACGTATACTCTGTTTAAAACGCTTATCCCTAAAACTGATATGTATGCACATATATTCGCGTAATACATCGAAGCGTAAATTGCTCTGTTCGACTACTCAAATTTTAGTCTTAAGTATTTTTATGTTGTATTAAAAATATAAGATATATGAACGTCATCAATGTAACTAATTTAATATAACATATTTTCTCATTGTTCAACATTTTCATATATGTATTAATCTATAAACCAAGTATTTTTTCGAAGATAATTTTGTATTAGTAATATTTTAGAAATATAACAATGTAATAATAAAACACAGTTAACGCTTCTGATGTTTACGGCGATGTTAGAAAATAGATATAACTATATATTATCATTATTTACATGTTATATAACTTATATAACTTGTTAAAACTGTATATGCATTCTAAAATTACTGTGCATAAAGTAGACATAAGTTACTTATTTAAAGAGATTGTACAATATTGTTATTTATTTTCGATTCTCTTTTTATTCTAACAACATAAATTGCACAAAATGTAGAGAAAATAAAATAAACTTCATTTAAGACAGACGTATTATGCATTCTACCTTCATCTCTCTCCTTTCTCCT